TCCAAAAGCAAATATGTATGTTGAAATATGTGTATTTATGTTGCACATATATCTACATATATCTATCTCATATACCTATATATCTTTAAATGTTGCCCTGCCCCCCAAGAAACCATCCACAATACAAACCATCACCATCACCACACCATAGACTTTTAAAAAGTGTGAGCAGTACCAACAACCATCACCATCACCACACCCAGCAACCCCCAACTTTTTTCTCACATTTACACACATCCATGTTTCAGCTTCCCTTTGGTCAAGGGAAGCTGTTGCTACAAAGCTGTACATGGATCTCTTTTGTCAAGAGATCAACCTACCAGGTCTTGTACAAGTGATCCCTGAGATCAATTGCCTCTTGCTTGCTGAGGTGTTCCTGCTCCAGCATCAGCTTGATTTCTCCCATGATTTCCACATACATTGGGTGGCCAACATGTGTTGTTTGCACAATCAAAGACATGTTGCCTTTGCCACCCTTGGCCTTGGTGCCACAAATGTAAACTCTCCAAGGTGGCTTTTTTGGAGTTGTGACTCTCAGCTTTGTCCATGGCCCCCCACCAGCAGAAGCACTTGATTTTGTACTCTTTTCATGCTTATCTTTCACCTTTCCAGATCCTTTGGTCAAGGAACTGGGTTTCTTCAATTTCTTGTTTGCTTGTTTCTTCCCTGCTGGTCTCTTCATGATGCCCAGCTCTTCTTTCAGCTCTTCATTGTTGGTGGGCAAATCTGATCTTGCCCTATTGGCTAGGGCCAATTGCCCTGTCCTTCTTCTCAAGAAGCTGGGGGGGTGACCCTCTTTGGTCAAGAGGATATCATTCGCAAGACCCTCTTTGGTCAAGAGGGTATCATTCTCAAGGGCGCAGCCTTTTGTCAAGGCATCCTTGCTGCCAGAGCCCTTCTCAGCATCTGGTGTGCCAAAGCATCTAGGATACCCTTCAGTGTCTAGGCTGAGCTCCTTCTTCAACTTTTTTTGGGCATCTCATGGTCATCTTCTTTTGCTTCTTCCTGGTCATCAGCTCCAACCCTTTTGTCAAGGGTGTCCTTCTTTTTCACCATCTCCACTACATCTTTGAGCTGCAAGAGCTCAGAGCCACTGAGCTTGGCAGCACATTGCTGAAGGTTGGTGTTTGCAAGTTTTCTCGTGTGACATAGCAAAACTCCCAACCTTTCAACCTTCAATCCTACCCACACACCACCAGAGAATTTGGTATCATTCAATGATGGCTCTTCCAACAAGAGTTGGAATAGTGCCTTCCTTAGGCGTTGTCCATGTATCTCTCCTGTATTCTCCAGCTCCAAAAGCCCTTTTGTCAAGGGCAGAACTGTCATCAACCCCTTAGGGTTGATGCCTGGGTTTTTGAGATCTTTTCATATGACCCCAGGTCTTTGATCAGCTCAGATTGCTGGTTAAATGGCTTCACCAGCAAACCCTCATCCACTTGTGGCTTAACATTGTGCCTATTGCCACCTCTGGAAATCCCTTTTTGATCAAAAGGGATGTCAGCACCCCTTTTGTCAAGAGGGTGATCTGCTAACTGTGAAGCACTTTGAGCCAAAGATGTGCAGAAAACATGTACTTCCAAATCAATATCCAAATCAATCAAAACCATCAAACAAATCAATACATTTTGTTGCAAGAAGAAAAACAAAATACTAGAAAAATCCAGAGAAACGATGCAAATCAATATCAACATGTTTATATAGCATTCGATTGATATAAATCAATATCCGATGCTCAGGGTCCTTTCGTCTTCGTAGGACCCCGTGGGACCGTGAGCATCAGCTGACGGTACCTTTGTCGGAGGCACAGGACCGAGTCTACGACCTTGATTGGTCACACGTGCCCGAGACTGAAGGCGACCAATGACCAGCTTCTTCCTTCGTCCGTGTCCATTCAGGTGGACCCCGGAGCGGCCTTGTACGAACTTGATTCTTGATGCAGATGACACCGACAATTCAGGCGAAGAAGCCGTACAGAAGAAGCTGACTGGCTAGATTGCCTCCAAGGGGAGCGACCTAAGGCAACCCCGCCAGAGCATCGATGTTGAACCTGCCTCAAAACGAGTGCATGTTGTCGATGCCCTGCGGGAAACCCCGCCTGTTACGCCTCCGCATGTCCGACAGGTCATCCTCGTTCCGAAAGGAAAAGCTAAGGGCGCCTTGGTCGCAGCCGGCCCACGTGTCCCGATCGTGGAGCCACAATTGCCAGCTAAATGATGCTACTGCAAAGCCAGTCCTGGTACCATCGTCTGCGCAACAGCCGGCCTCCGCCGCGGGAACCAGTTCAGCCAGGTATTGCACCGCCGGCCAAAGCCTTCGATCATCGAGCCGACAAGGTCCCACAGCACCCCACCTCAGTTGTGTCTGTCGAGTCCTCGTCATCGTCACTGCCACCTAAGCCCGCGCCTAAGGCGCGACCAGTGCGACCTATCTGAGTGCTTCAAGACATATTGGAACCACTCTGGATACTGTTTCCTAGCGACTTGGGGTGGAATCATAGGCAGGTTAAACCGTCGGCCGAACACTGCATAGGTCGAATCACCCAGCTGCGATCGGATGTAGTCGCAGGCGGTACCGTAGGCAAGATTCTCTCGGCCAGGCTGATGTTTCACACCGGGTCGGCAACCCCGCCTTCCGCGCTTGAAGCATCGGCTCCTTCACCCCTATCCTCCACCACCGGGGCCCTGTCCAACACGTTGGCGGGCTCAGGGTCAACACCAGCTTCGGCTGCAGAGGCTTATAAGTGCTGCCTCAAGCTCGTACTGCTCGTTGATCCTTTGCGCAATCGAGTCGTCCTCGAACGAGGATTCGTCGTCGTCGCCAAGGGGATCATACAGGTTACTGGTGGTTATAGGTGGACTGTGAGGGATCGAAGAAGCTTGCTCAAGCAGTCGCTCAGGCGGCACAAATTCCTCTTGCTCTTCTGCAGGGGTCGAATGACCTTGGTCTACAGGATCGGAGGGGTTGGTGCCTAGCGAAGCCTCGTCCGCTGGGGCCTGCGGGCCTTGGTCAGCGGAGTCGGCGGTAACTGCAGAGGTCTGATGACCTTGGTCCACAGTATTCGAGTTCGGAATGGTCTCACTTACGGGGTCAACGGACACCGCGCTTGGAGCAGCGGTGCCCTCGCCCGGGGCGTCCGGATCTTCCAAGTTGGCTGGGCCGGCGAATGGCTCTTCAAGCTCGACCTCCCGATCTTCGACCTCAAAGGAGGACATTGGAAACAATGTGGGGCCAGAGTCCGCTTCTGATGCGGCGCTGGCCCGCTTCGAGCTATCCGAACCCGCGCCCGCGGCAGCGGCTGGAGGGTCCTGGTTATCCACGAACAGGCTCAAGGCGTCAACTGCCTGCGAACCCAGATCGCGCAACGTGGTCACCTCCACCATGTTGGTCTCCTACTCCTAGCGAATCCGCGCTTGGAGCAGCGGCTTGCGCTGGCTCGTGCTCGGGTCTTGGGCCAGGGGAGCTACCTAGCGAATCCGCGCTTGGAGCAGCGGCTTGCGCTGTCTCAGGCTCGGACCTTTGGCCAGGTGGGTTATCCCTTTGTCCTACCGAAGCCGCTGACGAGGAGGCGGCTGGCGCAGATGAGGCTTGAGGGGGGTTAACCCTAGGCATGGAGACTAATGGAGGCGGACTATTAGAGCTCGTAGCTTGGTTAGAGCTACGGCTGATAACCAATGAAAGTGACAAGGGTTCAGGTATATCCACAGGGAACAACCACCACAACTGCCTTAAGGGCAGATTGGAGGACAACTACCCTATAGTGCGGAGAACCCTGAGGAAGTTGGGTACACGACGGGGGACCCCGGAAGGCTTGGTCCCCGTGGTGTACCAGGTGTGGGGTGTGGCCTAAAGGGAGCTCGGTACGGCAACCCGAAAGAACACACAACACGAAAACCGGAATGCACGAAAGGCAGCGAGCGAGTGCGGATGCAAGCGAACGGCGAGCGAGCGACGTGCACCCTGAAGCACGCAGTGAACGCACGTTTCTTGAGCCATAGCGACGGTCGAAAGAACGTCACAAACTGTACATGTGGTCCATGTGACATGACAAGTTAGCGGTATGGTTTTTTGTGTGTAAAACTTTGACTAAGAAGCACCAAAGACCTACGTAGGAATATTCAAATCACACAACCACATGCCCTGCTTGCGTGTGTGCGGACTGCCCGGTCGGAACTCGGGCGAACAACCCGGTCCCTCCGGGTCGTGACTTCGCTTGCAGAGGAACCGGGTTCGCGCGAAATATTGAGCCCCTTACCTCGCAATCAACCTTGATCTCCAATCAAGGAGCGAAGATAGCGAAGGAACAAAAACAGCTTGGAGGAGCGAAGGAACAAGCAGGGTATGCGAAGGGTTAAGTCTTAAAGCCAATCTCGAGAGTCGATGTCTCATTTTTCGGGGTATTTTGATTTTTGGGGTACAGACTGGTTTTGGGGTACAGACTGATTTTGGGGTACGATGGGTATGAGATGCCAGTCGTTGCCCAATGATATCAGGAAAATGTGGATATCAGTTGCTTCCCTGGTTTTGGGGTAGGAGATTCAAGATCAATGGTTGCTTCGGGGGTAATTATAGGGCTCAACACCTTCGCAAAGCCTGAGCAAAGCCTAACAAATCTGTGGCCTCGTTGGTTTCATTCCTCCCAAAGCTTTTCGTGCACGGATCGAATGTCCCGGTGCGCCCGACCGGTGGACCAAGCTGACCAAGCTGACCAAGGGACTAAAGTTGACTAGGGTGGACGAAAGGACCAAAACCACTCAAATAGGACTATTCATGCGGATGTTGTAGTGTTCGATCCAGTTATTCTTTGGATGCGATCATGTTTATGGATACCCCAAATTGCAACATGATGTCAGCCCTAAAGACGTATTTGTGTGTAAGGGCTACTGGTGAAGAGTGAACTTGTTTTTCGCTAGAACCGAGTGACACACATTGAAAGGGTGTGCACTGCACTCATAGCCTGTACTGTTAGTATCTGTTAGTGTGCGCCAAGCCCAGCGGTCCTCTCCCAGAGCATTCACCAGGATAGTCAAATACTCGGACAGAAAGAACTTGCCCTTACCTAAGTTTGTTTCAGTTTCAGCCCCCGGCAAGTAGCGAAGCTCATGTTGCATTCATCTACAAGGTCCAAAACATCAGAGCATCCATGGTTCCACCACAGATTTTGGTCAAACGCGCTACATCCAATTATGAGCAGCGCTAACCTGAAATGAGAAAGCACACCACATTCCTTATTCCCACATTCCTTCTTTTTGAAAGGTATTGGCATTTCTCTTGTAACGGTCATGACGCTCCGAAACATCTCCCCCTGCCAGCGCTGCCGAAACGCTGCCAGCTGCTCCCCGTCTCTCCGTCTTGTAGCATCTCCAAAGCTTCAAACAAAAACGCTCCCCAGCATCGATGGTCACCGTTGGCTTGCTGGAGCAGGGCACCATGGGCAATCCACGCTTAAAGCTTTGGATGGACAGAGTCACCTGGAAGCAACACAAATACGAAAGCGACACATGGGAACCCTGTGAGACAACATATGAAATCCGCCACTGCACGACTGAGTCAAACAACGCCACTGCACGACTGAGTCAAACAATAAAGGCCCCAAATCATGTCAATCCGACAGGGTCATCCTGCCAATCTCTCTTTGAAGAGAACAAACAACAAATCATCTCATTTGGAGGCAAACAAACACGCATGCAAGCGTTCTCACAGTTCAGCAAAACCATTCCCCAGCATTCGAAGTTCCCGCCAGGTCGCATAGAACTTCTCACTAACTTCACGCAGTTCTCGAATGTTTGGGCGATTGAGAAAGAATTGTGTTGACCGATGAACACCCTCCATAAGAAGTCGAAACCTCAGCACTTGCCCACAATATCTAATAAGCTAATCAGCACGTGAAAGCATATTGAGTGGGACATCAATTTGTCTACAACTCTCAGCAGCAGTTCGGCCAACTCGCTAAATGAAACAATAGGCTCAATGGCAATGTATATATATATATTTTCTGTTCTCTATTCCGAGCCATTCCACCGCCCTTTCCAGGAACTT